AATCAACTATGTGTTATTTATATTTTTCGATAAGATGCTCCTTTCATTATTGTTCAGAATAGATTAACGTGAAATAAGATATCGACATGCTCATTAACTGCAAAACAAATTCGTCAGATAAGTTTTGGAAGTTGGAACGTCTATTTCTTCGTTTCTGTCGAATGTTACGTACATTAACGAAACCTTCTATCGATCCCGCAATTACAAATTACACTACCAATATTTAAACTACAAATTACACTACCAATATTTAAAACATACGGTTTTGTTGTATTTTTCATGATGAATAGAAACAATTTTTGAACTTTCGTTGGAGCCGCGTATCATTTCGTATAATACCTGTAAGTAGTTCAGTTAAGAGATTCGTTAAGCGGTGCGACAATATCGAGCACATTCGGTAGAAATTGAATACAAAAAGCGCCAGACACAAAAACACGATCCCTGCGGAACGTATGAAAGATCAGACTTATAAATTATAAATGAGACAATCTTGAGTTTCGCTTATATGGGGTTAAGCGAGCTTGATTTTAAATAATTTCAATTCACAGCTCAACTATCACTATCAATCGGCTCAATTCTTTATATATTATGCTCAGCATGAATTGCCTGGAGATATCTGCATATTTTCTTAATATATCAACTTTATCCGGAGTCTTCAATACCATCCATTCGTCTCGAATTCTCCTGAGGATGTGTTTTATCTACACTTTTGAATAATCTATGAATACATATGGCTGCATCGGAAATTAATAACATCGAATACATTGTTGTCGAGTGTGCTATGTATATATATATATGCCGTGTATATGTATATACACGTTGATGACTAATATCGAGGGCAAACCCGATGATTATATAATAGCGTGAGAACAAGCGTGGTGTGCAGAATATCGATTAATGCTATTAACTTCCTTTGTAATCCTTGCGTTTTTCACGAGGGGGCGAATTGTTTCGATTGTTTCGTCCGCGAAAAGGGTCTCCTCCGTAGCGAACACATTATGGTGTTCTCACATTTATTTCAACTGTGCACGAGACGGTATCCTGAGAAATTATTTTCATTGTTAACTTTAATATTGTTTGAGTAACCACATCTTTTCGAACTACATTGCAAATCCAAGCGTGTAATTTTACACACTTTGTGTAGTCACTTTTTACTTTTTTACTTTTACGAGTTCACTTTCAAGAAAATGAAAGTAACTTTCCTGTTTAAAATGGTATCGTATTTTAACTCGTACATTTTGACTCATTTTGACAAAATAAGCCAGAGAGCGACATTTTGACTGCACAAAATCTCGCTCTCTAGCTTACTTTGTATTGTCTTCCAATTCTTCTGAATACGATGATACAATTGCGTGATCTGCCGTTAAATGCCATAAATCTATTTCTTTATCATCGCTCATGCCAGTTAATTAGAAAACATCTTACAGCTTTCGGCGTAAAGGTAAAGGTGTAGTGTTTCAATATAATTAACGTATAAGGCAAAACTATTGACATAGTTTTAACGAAGAGAGCCATATCATACTTCCTTGTGATGAAAACCCCAACAGAAACCAACAAATACGGCGATCGATTGGCGATAGAAGTGTGTCGCTCTGACGCGACAAAGTGCGAGCGCTTCCAATATCAATTTCGCATTATGTTATTTCTACTTCGTGTCGGATTCATTGATAAACTTTCCGAAGTCCGAAAAGAAAATTCGGCTAACGTGAATGATTTTTTATGAATATTTATCACTCGAAGTATTCGGGGCAGAATCAATCCGCAGCTGACGTCGCTACAAACGGATGCACTGTGCATTACCTGCATACCGAGATACGTCACGAGTAAGATAATGATTGGTATCCGCTGTAATAATGCAAGACGCGATCTGTTGTGATGCCACATACCTAATGTTTTGAGAAAATATTATATATTGATTGTATAGTAATGCATTCAGACAATATAACGATGCTCTCTTCTCAACTATACTTCGTCTATCGACGTTCTTCTTCGTTGAGAGATTACTTTCGAGCGGTACGGAGTATTCCCTTATTGAATGACTGATATTCGCCAGAACATGCGAATTCGAGCGGTGAATTTATTTCGGGAAAGAGAGAAGACACGATAAAAAGGACCTTCTCTCTGGACGTTCTGCGGACGCAGCGAGAAGAAAAAAAGTCAATAATCTAAATTACCGTGGAACTTCCTTCTCGCGAGATCTATATTGTACTCCCCGTACTTTCACCTTTCTTCTTTATGTCGCGCGTGCGCAGTAGCAGGAACGTTCCGTTATATATCGAACGACGCACCAGTCTTTCCTCAGCCATCGAACGGCGCACTGTTCGGACATATCCGTGAAACGACGAGTCCGCTACCTTAACTTCAAACGCGTATTTAATCACGATCCGCTGTATTATCGTAGTTTCATTCGTTCGTGTTAAGCATACAAGCCTTCTGCAATAACCGGTATGTGCCAACGCAATTGTATCGTTGCTTCGGTCGATCGGGATATGCATTTGTTCCTCCAACGCTTGTCTATTGGTATGATGCACAAAGTATCTGGGGTGATTATACGTTTTTATTCAACACACCATATTCAACAGATTCGGATCGCACGAGCTTGCGGAACAGCGTAGATTTAATACGACCGGTCGGTAATAATTCCTTCCTTCCTTCCGTCTTACTCGGCCCGTTATTACCGTGTGGAATATATCACCGTGAAGTAAGACACGGCCGCTCTCGTCAGCTGAAAAGACAGACACGTTGCACCGTCCATTAGATTCACTGTTGAGACTCGATGCTTTTATTGTGCGAGGAGTTCAAGTTTTACCGAAGCGAAACATTCCAGAGACACGACGATTATGCCACCACATGTTAAATTGACGTTTCTCGTTCCCCTCTGCATTATAAACAAAAGCGATTTTTGTGTTTGCAACGGTGCTACGTACCACGGTACGTTATAACTGCAATTTTTTTTGAACGTAATTCTCAAACAAAGTCAAAAATAGAGAATTTAGATTTAAATAAATATCATGTAAGAATCCAAAGAAATATTCGTTTGTTTTTAAACATTTCTTTTCTCAATATAGTCATCGTGGGTAAAAGTGTTGCGAAAGTGTGACGCGATTAGTTACAAAAACTCACGTTGTTTTGAATAGCTTTATTCCGTGCTCTGTTATTTCCTGTCCGCCGTAATTGCAGATGAACATGTAGCCTAAGTGAGCCAACACTAATATAGCGATTATGAATATCTCGCTGATGTTATTTGTTAACGTTACCAGTTGGAGGAACTACGGCGGAGAGCGCGGCTTTTTAAAGTGCGGCCCGCAATTAAATGGAATAGTGAGGTAGACGTTACTTACTTGAAAAAGGTTGAGGCTCAGTGAGCTAACGCCGACTATGATGAGAAGGATATATGACGTCATAATATCGGACGTCAAATATTCAACGAACCTTTAACGAAATTAGATATTGTGGCTGTTGCAATATCTTGAATAAGTCGTGGAAATTTAAAAATTACAGTCCGACCACAAGTAACTTGCGATAGTTAGCGCGAATTTCGCCATCATCATGCGGTAGCTGCGATTATTCATGATAATTATCATATTCGTGTATAATTATTGTTCGAATATATCCAGACCGCGTTTTCGGATCGCATAGTTTAGAGAGATACACAGTAAAAAAGGTTTGTATTAAAACCGGCCTTTGTTAAAATTTTTATGTAAAGTTTTTAACGTAACCTGTGGGATCAACACACACACACACACACACACACACACACACACACACACACACACATATATATATATATATATGTATAATGTTGAGTCGATATTCAACGTGTGTAAATATTAAAATACCTTTAACATGCAAAAGCTTTTAATACGAGAAAGAAAATATTACATTGAAAAAAAATGGTAATATCACCAAGATTTGTGCAAACGAGAAAAATCTGAGCGAGTAAACGTTTAATCCATTGAATAAATTATATAATTGCTAATTGGGTTATCAATTGATTTGACGATTGTGATTTAATTAGGAGCTACATGAGCACAACATATTGTTGCATCAGATAGACTGATAGACAGTTTACAGACTTTCTCCATCTAATTCCTCTTTCTAACAAACAGGTAGTATTATGATATTTGAAGTACCTACTCGATGGCTCTTTGATGAATAGCGACTGCGTGGACAATCCCCCGACAAAGAATATAGTCTCTTTTAGGACCAGGAATAGTTAATAAACTTTTCTCGGTCACGTTCTCTATACGGAGGCTGCAAATCTGCAAATGTATACACCGGTCTGCAGAAGCAATCACGAAGCAAACGTGCTTAACACTAACATTACCTGGCTATTTTGAAAAGCGCACACGCATGATAGATGTACATCATAAGTGTTGCAAGGGTGCTGCACAACGCAATCGCTCCTATGCAGCCGGTTATAACTTCGTGCATTAAAATGACGAAGGAGTATTTTTCTTGGTTGATAAAGTATTCCGTATTCACGATAACTCGATATGGTCTTGATTCGTTAAGCGGCCACACAATATTCAATATTATCGGTAGAAATTGAAATATCCCGCAAGCGATTATGCCGATATAGCAAAGTGCTGAGGAAAACGTGTTAAATTTGAAGTTTGAATTCAGTTACATTACATTAATTACTCTTGAAAAATTGCCGAAAACGTATTCGAACGAAATTTGTATCATCGGATTGATATGATCGGAAAGAACTATATTGGCATAGAATATATCGCAATTAGCTCTCTCTTACACATCGTCAGTATTGTAAAAAACTTCCCGTGGCAAGTGTACTTTTTTAAAATTTTAATTTCCATTTTATCCCTCAGTGAGCTCCAGTCATCGTGTATCTTCTCCAGCAATTGTCTCACCTGCTTGTTTTATTTATCTTTTTTTTCCTTATTTTATACTGACAGTTAATAAACGATTAACCTTATATGTGCTTTAGTACAAAGCATTCGAATAAATAAATAAAAACTTCTCTTGTTAGACTTACTTACGTTATTTGCCTGAATGACATAGAGGCAATATTTAATCGTGACGAAGATATTGGGGAACGTGAACGAGAGAACACTGAAGAGAACGTTAGCGTTGTACTGTGTCCTAACCAACACCAGTAACTGGAAATAGCGCTATTTAAAGCATATATCTTAAAAGATACCATGCGAAAAATGTGTGATGCTTGACGAAATATACGGTTTATTGCAATATACAGGACGAAAAATATTCTTAGAAAAATCCGGAAAATTGAATAATGTAAAAATTCCGATTTTAAAAATGATCATATATAAAATAGAAAAATAATAAGAGAAGCCGGGAAAAAGAATAAAAAATAAAGCGTTCATATTTACACGTGATAGCTGTTCTATCGCGGCCGCGCTCGATTACCATGCGTATACCTGTACCACGATAAATGATGTAAGAATAGCGATAAACAGCACATTCTGCATTCGTACTAGACGTGATTGCTGATACGGCCACAAGCCGAGTATCTTGAGAACAACTCGATTGATTTTATAATAGGGTGCCTCGGCCGCGTGCATTTCGTAAGAGAGTCGCTATGCAACTGTATTTTTCTTGATGCTTTTCCGTGTTACCTTCCACGACATTTTTTTATGAATTACAAACGATTAATACGATCGTCCGATGATGGTACCGTAAAAATGTGATGATAATTTTCCGACGACATATTCGTAGTATAAGCGGAGGAAAACTAGGCTAAATTGTCCCTATTCGTAATCGACAGCGATATTCTTTCTCTTTTACCGCATAGACTGTAGAATATTTTTGCGCAAACGCACTCGCGACTTTTGCTGCTTGGTAGTGAGCGACGTTACAGTCTTGTCCTGCCCGCCATACAATACACTTCGATTTAGCTCTATCGAAGTACATTGAAGTATATTAGACATAGACCATTAGAGGATAAAATAGTATCGGATGAAAATACTATCCTAAAATGTGTGTGCGTGAGTTGCGAGTGGTGATTAATATCGGTAAACCAAAATGATTACGTGGAACGCAATGTATCAATTAATAATGTTAACCCTCTTTGTAATTCTGCATTTTCCGTGCACAAGGTGACTCGCCGGGAGTTCCTCGACGAAGGGACGAATTACATCGATTGTTTTATCTGAGAAAGGGAACTCATCCGTAGCGGATATATCATGACGTTGTCACGTTTACGTGTTCCTGTAGTGTTATTGACAAAATTATTTAGTAACAGTTACCATATATTTGATATATATTGAAAGTGTTAAACTACTTTATAATTATTACTAAATTATGTAATATTATTTACCCAATAATTCGTATGGTTCAACTTAATGAAAAATTCTGTGTCATTATACATTTTGTTATTATCAAACGATTAGTAACTATAATCAGCCTTGATATTAATTACCAAATAATGCACTGAAACACACTGAAACCAAATATATTTATCAACCATTACTAGACTTTTTTTTAAATATATAGATGAGGTGCGCTAAGTTGTCAGAAGTTAATATACATTTTTATTTAACACTATATGTAACAAGTTTAGAACAGATATAAGTCGCACAATAATTTGGATTTAGGTTATAATCAAACTGCCGATAATAGTTTCTTCCTTTCTTCCTTCCTGTGTTCCTTGTTACCGTAAGGAATATATCACAGTGAAATAAGACACGGCCGTGCTCGTCAGCTTAAAGACACATGACATCGCCCGTTAAATTCATGTCGAAATTCGATATTTTCGGTAAG